GATACCTTCCTTTGAGTTATTGGCCAGGATGATGCCAGAGACCCTCTGACAATAACCCAGCATAGAACTGAAAAAATTAATAGCAGACCCCAATCTTATCTAAAGGAATATTGACAACTGATTGCTGCTAGATGAGGAACAGCTGATTTCCTAAAACAGGGATCTCTAGATAAGGCTGACTGGATTCAGCAGACGGACCAGGCACTGGAGAATGGCTGGGGTTTACAGCACAGTGGACAGTAACAGGGATGACAGACCATTTATATGTTCTTTAAGAAACCAAACATCATGAGTTTTTTGAGTTTTGTTTTTTTTGTTTTTTCATTTAAGTGGTTCTTTATCCATTCAAGGTTCAAATCCCTACTTGATTCGAAAGATTCTGAAGTAACTCACAATAATCTTTCTGGCTAAGGGTAGCAGTCAAGGATTCAATAGGGAAGAAGAAGGAATAATTATACAGCAATATTTTTTTAAAACTTTATTTTTGTTTTATGGGTATGAGTGTTATATCTCCATGCATGTAAGTGCACCTATGCTGTTAAATGCCCAAAGAGGCCAGAAGAGGATTTCAGATTCCTGAAACTGGAGTTACAGGTGGTTGTTAGCCACTATGTGGATAATGGGATTCGAACCTGGGTCTTTTGCAAGAACAGCCAGTGCTTTTAACTGTTGAGCCTTCTCTCCAGCTCCTAAAATTAGATTTTTAAAAACAACTTTATTCTTCAAAGTTTATACCCTTCAACATAGTTTATTTAAGTTCAAGTACTTATAGGATACAGATGATATGCCAACTTAAAAGTGGTTTTTTGGCTAAATTAATTCATTAATTCACTTATTGTCTAACAGTCTAAGAATGAAGCATTATTTAGCAACTGTTTGATAGATTATAATACAAAAGGGGGCTTTTGTATTTTTAACTAGGAAGGGACTTTAATTTGAAAGAAATATATAAGCTGGGTGTTTTATTGCTGTATCTGGAAAATGCCTCTTTATTCTTCAAAATTTATATCCTATAGTTAATTTCAGTTCAAGTACTTATGGGATGCAGTTTACTTTATATCAGTTTACTTGTTTAGTTGGCTGGTAGGTTTTACTAAGTATAAGCCCCAAACCAACTAATTTGACTTCTGTGCTCAGCTATGACCTTGTTTATGTGTCTACTCTTAAGATATTTTTAAAATAACTAGCTATATTTAGCTGATTTCATAACTAAAATCTGCTTGGGCCACTTAAACATGACAACAAAATGAGCTAGCTAAAAAAATTAACAAATCATTGAAACTATCCAGGTGCTTTAATTTTTGTAAATCTAACTATGGCAGAAACAGACTCTGAGACAGGTTAATGGCCTAGATGTTTATTAAGGAATGCCCTTGGGCTCAACCCCTGTAGAAGGGTAGGAAGTAAAGTACATATGGGCTCAAGTTGGGTTGTAAAATATACCCAACAACATCTTCAGCTGACACCAAGTGGAACTCCAGAGCCCTATTCCTTCAGCATTCTCCCTCCTTGAGTCAAGACAGCCAGGGCTTCCTTCTACCAATCAATCATTGACTACCAGATTGAGAAGAGATGTGACCTTGGGTAAGGCAGTTCACTGCAACCAAGGAAACCCATGAAAGGAGATGACAGTGACTGTTAGCAACACTCCCGGCTGCTGGGCCACAGGTCCGTCGTTGTAGATACATCATTGTGTCCATCAGTAATCCAGTGTTATTGGATCCTCTTGCCCACGTAGTCTCTGAAATGTTAAACGTTGTAGCTCCCAATGTTTTGCTCTAGTGCAAAAATCAATATAAACAACCGATTTGTCTCATTAGTCAATCACGAGCTCAGAGCTTGGCCTAGCACAGCCATGTGGGATTATTCTGCTTTTCAGTTTCTATATCTGTGAAATAAACAAACCTGACCTAAGACCACCCCAACAAAGGACAGTTAATTGAAAAAATTAGAAAGAGAAAAAATTGTAACACAATCTCCTATGATAAATAATACAAGAACTCAGCCTTCAACAAGATCATTCTCAGGCACTAAAGCGATCAAAACAGTTTTTTTGACTTTTACAAAAACTTTATTGAGAATTTCATACATGTATATAAGGTGTTTTGATCAAATCCATGCCCACTCCCTCCCCTCCAACATTCCCCCCTCTGAAGAGGTAACCCTAAAATCTTTTAAGGATTAGATACAAGCTCCCAAATACTTTTGACATTTTTGG